CTGTCTGGCGAGCGCATGCGCCCTATAGCAAAAAAAAAAAAAAAAACCTCTCCAAAAAAAAAAAGTAAAGAAAAAATTAAAATGTGGGTAAAAAATCCAGAAGAAGAAAGCAGAATTGTCCCCAGGCGTGCCAGAGGGCACTGAGCACACTCCTCGCCTCTCCAGCTTTCTGCTCCCACTGCGCCTGCCCCCAGCGCACAGCCGAGGACGAGTGACTGAACGCAGATTTCCTGGAAAACAAACAGGCCCTCATCACAGTGATCCTTCCCCCGCCGTGGTGAACCTCGGGCGCCAAGAAGCCCTTACTAACAACGCTCAGCTGCTGCCCTGTCAGGGAGAGCCGGGCCCTGGGCCTGTTCTCTGAAGAAACTGGGGTACGCCCTGGTGAGGGTCCCGCTTACCAAGCGCGCACGGCTGCTCTGGGGAAGGGACAGCAGCAGCGGTCGGACGGCAGCTCTACTTGGAGCCAGCCACCTCAGCTCTGCGGCCACGTCCTCACCTGGAGGCCAGGGAGGTGAGAGCGCCGAGGCCCGCTCCTGAGGTGGGCAGGAGCAGGTGCACCTGGGGCGGCGACCAGCAGAGGCAGCGCTCAGGGACTACCGGGCCTGTTGGTATTCAAGAACTTCTTGTTTTGTTTTGCCATAGGGCTCACAGGCTTGCCAGAGAGACAGGGAAATGAGCAATCACCCCCTGGGGGAATGGCCAAGCCACAGTCCCTTCTCCCATTGGGATTTCTCGCGTGTGCACACACACACGCCCAGCCTAACATTCATCCACAGGGTCCAGGACTCAAACCACAGTCGGCCATGTGGGAATGCAGTGTCTTAACCACCACGCCACCTGCTGGCCCCACTATGCATGATTTCCAAGCAGACTCCATGGCTGCCCCCTGACCTGTTCGAGGGGCTGCAGCTGACCCCTCAGGTGGTCAATCGTCTCCAGTAACTGGTGTTCTCTCCTCTTCTGGAACTCCTGTGCGTGCAGGACCGCCGACAGCCTGTGCACCACGGCCTTCACGTGCTCCATCTCTGCGGCATGCTCATGGTCCTGCTCCTCTGGAGAGAAACAGAGACGCACAAAGTGGTTGCCGTGTTGCTCCCTCCCGGGTCCGTGAGTCCAGGAAGCCCAGTCTGAGCCCACAGGCCTGGCCACCTGGGCACTCCCAGTGGCACCTGGCACCAGCCTTTCTGTTCCAAACGACTCCGGCCACCTCAACCTGGAGTGATCCATTACTGGGCAGAGGTTTCAACTCGCTCTGTCCTCACCTGCCTCCTCTTGGTACCACGACGTCGGGACACAGACAGCAAAGGGAATGGCAGTGCCACGGCCACGAGGCCAGTGAAGACCTCGCCTTGCCCAGGGCACACTGACTGCTGGGTTCGCTTCTCTACCCGAGTTCAATGAAGATCCTTCCAACCACCCCGTCCCCAGCCAGCTTTCTGGATGTTATTCTAGAGTTCTCGGAGGAAGGAAGCCTGTCCACAAATGTTTGTGTAAAAGTAGGACACAAATTTTCGAACCTGTCCCTCCTTGCTTCCCAACCAGAAGGAGCACAGGCTGGTCACCAGCGACAACTTGCGACCCTCGCCAGCCCGGAGCTGTGCGAGAGTGACCTGCCCAGGCCCTGTGAGTCTGCACCTGCACTATGGCTTTATGTACCTCCTGGTGTCCCGCCGTGGGGCTCAGACCCTGCTTTGCTGCCTCCAGGCCACCTGCTGTGTAGCCCGGTGCTCGGGGCTGCGCTCTGACAGCTCTCATGCCCGGCCATCTCCATGTGCACATGAACCCCATGCTGGGATCCACCTGCTGTCCGCTACCCTGCCTTCTGTGTGAGCGGCTGGACAGCCGAGGGCTCAGGGAGGGGTGCGGCCTCAGGATTCCCCGTGTTCTTTGTAGCTCCCCTCACTCCTCCTCTCCAGGGTAAGTCCACGTCACTCAGGTGGTCACGAGACCCTCCTGAGGCTGTACTGTTCACTGGTGCTGCACGAGGGCCGGTGGGGGGGCTAGGAAAGGGATGGCCCACCAGGCAGCGAATGACCACGGCGGGCAGGGCACCCACACGGACAGGGCGACTGCAGTGACCGCGTGGGGAGGGCGACATGTGACTGTTGGCTGGCAGGGTGACCACAGTTGGTAGAGTGACCGCAGTGACCATGGCGGGCAGGGCAACCACAGTGACCATGCGGGCAGGGTGACATGACCGTCATCTGGCGGACATGGACTGTGCTGGTGAGCTGCTGGGGGCTGGTGCGGACTAGCTCGAGAAGTAGAACTCCTCACCCAGGAGTTTCACCAGGTTGTCACAGGGGACATCAGGGACCAGGGAAGCACGTGCCCACCTCTGCAGAAGGGGAAAGGGACACGCTCTCAGCAGCCCGGAACACTGCTCGCATGACAGGCCACCTCGCCAGGGCCTCGTCTGGCCTGCAGGAAGGGCACTCGGCCCTGCAGCCTCCTCCAGCCTTGCTGTCTCACGGGGAAAACAAAGGCTAAGAAACTCTCCGGCAGGGCACAGCCCAGGGATGGTGCCTACAGGAAACGAGACCCCATCACACGACTGTGGGTCCCTCAGTACCTCACGGCCGCAGCAGTGCAGCTTCTGCTCTACTTGAGACCAGGCTCTCTACGAGAAAGACTTTCTGCGGAAACCATAAAACACAAAGGGGATGAAACAAGGGCAGCAGCGGAAACTGAAGCCTCTGACACCTGAGCTGAGCAGACACTAGCAGTCTAACTCCAGCCAGACAGCCGCACAGCATGGGACTGGTCACCTCCATTTGTCTCTCATGTGATATGCCATGTCCGGCTAAGTGAAATCATTAGCAGGCCCTGATATGGCGGAGATCTGGAATGATCATGCCAAGACATTAAAGCAACTATGAGTAATATGGCCAGGGCTCTAACAGAAAAAAATGACAATGTGCAAGAACAGATGAGTAATGTAAACGAAGAGACGGAAAAATCTAAGGGGAAAAAACCCTGCTAGGCATAAAAAGCCACTGTAACAAAATGAAGAATGCCTTTGACAGGCCCAACAGATTAGACACTGGGAAGGAGAGAATCAGTTATCTTGAAGATATATTAGTGGAAACTTCCATAAATGAAAATCACACCATGAGTGCATGCACATGTTCCCAGAATCCTGACAGGTAGACAGATGGGAGGGAAGGAACAATGGCATGGCCATACCCCAGTTGGGGGTACCCCACCCCCCCCCAAATGTATGTGTCCTTTGGCAATAAACTAAAAAATAGAAAATGTTGGGATCAGCAGTTGGCATAATGGCTGTGTCACTGGACTCCCATGTAGCTGACCGTGGTTCAAGTCCCAGATTTGGTGGCTTAATTTCATGCCAGGTGCATGTGTATGCATGCCCAAGAACCCGAGAGGAGAATGGAGGAGAAGGGACTGTGGCGTGGTCATCCCCTCTGGGGGGTGGATTTCTGTCTCTCTGTTTCTCTGGGGAGCGCATACGCCCTATAGCAAAAATCTCTCCCAAAAATAAATAAATAAATAAATAGAAAATGTTACTAAGACAACTATTGCTCCCTTTAAAAGCCCCACAGCTAAAGGCAAAAGACAAGACAGGATGGCCGTTTCTCTTACCTTTCTTGGGGCACTGTACATCATACACTTTCTCATTAATAATAAGCTTAAAGTCTCTCATTAACAGACTATCCATGAGGGTTGATGCTGGGATCTCGCTGCCATCTGAAAGAGAAAACATAACGCAAAACACACCCTTGTTTTAGAACGGTGAGGACCATTTTCCAAACCCAGGTCTTTATGGCACAGTAATGTGCCTTTGCCTCCTCTGGTCCCCAGACTCAAACACCACTCCCGTAGAGGGGCTCCCCTGAGGATCCCCGTCATTAGACGGAATCCAGTGGAAGGGGCAGATGCTCCTCTTCCCTACCCCTCAGCTGTCCTGAGATTCAGGGTAAGGCCACAGTGAAGTCGTGTGCAGATGGCCACTGAAGAGTCAGAGGAGGTGGGACCCCTCACAGCAAGGCTAGGGCAGACCGGGGGGCAGTGGGGGAAGCAGAGACGGCTGGTGGCTCCTGCTCCTCCTGTGCCTGGCTTCCCGTCACTTGGGGTGCAAAGCCTGTGACACTGTCTTGTTGGCCTGAGTCCACCTGCTGTGTGGCTGGGCCACCTGCATGTGGAGGGGTGACGTTTCCAGACCTGCCTTTCTCTCGGTTGTAACTACCAGCTGCTGAGGTGTGCTGGCTGAAGTGGCAGTGGCCAACAGCACCCCAAAGCGCCCCACACCCGCTCCCCCCCTTCCCGGCAGGAAATAAAAGTGGCAGGACCTCAAGCTGGTGGGGCAGGGACAGCATGAACATGTGGAAGCCCAGAAGCACATGTGCATCTGTTTGGCAGACCTCTGCAGAGAGCAGACGCAGGAGAGACCCTAGTGGCAAACCCAAACATCCCAGAACCACGTCAGGGAATGTGATCCTCTCAGAACTTTTTGACCCCGCCGTGCTCTGAGAGCTCACCAGGCCTAGGTCCTGTCACAGTCTTGGACTGAACTTTTACGGCAGCCCCAGTGTCACGAGAGCTAACCACTGAACGAGAGGCGAGCTGTGTGGGGTCGGGGCCCCTGACATGTCCTTCGCAGGAGTCGTGCATAACTCGGGGGAACAGTCTGGGACACTGCCGGGGGTGCATTTCCCTAGCAGGTGTCTGCCTGGTTCCATTCAAGCAGCATGAGTTCAGCCCCGGGACCTGCTGGCCACACGGCACCGCTGCAGACCTGGAGAACCCTGGCACCTGCCTCCTCCAGTCTGCGACCCACCGCGACAGTCTGCACCTGGGACTGTCCCGTGGCACGGGCTGTTCGTGCTCCCGCTCATCGGCTCAGGTGAGAATTTCCCTGAGAACTGGTAAGTAACTCAGCCCCCAGGACAGGCCGGGCTGTGACAAGCTGAGACCACGCTTTCCAAGCCCAGGTTAAACACAGGCCAAGCCCACCCAGAGAGACCCTTTGCTAAAAAGCATCGACATGCCAATCAGTTTAGCTGCCTCTCCAAGAGCCACTGAAATTTCACATGGAAGTGACTTTGAAGCAGCTTCTAGAACGATGGACGTGCTGAGCACGTCCGACACCATGCTTCTTCACACGGACAGCAGACGGCAGCAGACCAAGGACCATGAGGGACCAGAGTGGACGGGGCTGAACTTCCATCTAATCCAGGGCAGGAGCCCAAGAGCTCCTCTTCCTAAGATTCCGAGTCTTTATTTCTTTCTGATCGCTTTACAGTCACTCGTTGGTTTTCATTTCCAGAGCACGCGTGCGCTCACCAGAGAGGAGGAGGAGGTACGCAGGTAGGAGGGGTGTTCGCGCCCGCAGGAATCGGGGGCACGTGTGCACACACACCACAGTAGTTCTGAAGCCACTGGGATGGCACTCAAACCGCAGTCGGCCATGTGGGACCCAGATAGCTAACCTACCAGGCCATGGCCAACCCCTCAAATTATTTTTAAATATAAGCAGAGGACGCTTAGTCACTGTCTTCACGTCACTCACTGCATGCTACCATCGGGCAGACTGCTCGACTCTGAGCCTGGTTTCTTCTTTTTGATTACTAAGGGCACACATATATGAGAGCAAGAGAGAGCTAAAGCACACTCCACAGCGGGGTGTGGTCACGCCACAAGCCCTCTCCCGCCACCACTCCATCCTGTCAGGATTTGGGCACACACAGGGCCCCAGTGTGCTGTCCGGGCGGCTGGGCAGGGATTAGAACCGCGATCAGCCACGTGGGAAATGGCTCCCATGCAGAGCCTACCCACTGTGCCACGAGGTGGCTGCCCATGGACGTCAACGCTCCTGTGCTCGGGGGACACGCCTGGCTACTTCAGGGACGAGGTGGCACCCACAGGGCAGGGCTAAAACCTCACTCTCGGATCCAGGCGTTAATAGAGAGCCCCTTCCAGGCAGAGCTGAAGACGCAGAGCGACCTGGGCGGGGCCGGCCTGACAGTGCAGCAGCCAAGCACTGCACCCTGGGAGCCGGGTCCCACCTGGCCAGAGTCCCTGTCCCTTAGCACGGGAAACATGGGGGGCAGGCAGTGTGCACGTGCCCCAAATCCTGGCAGGATGGAGAAACCAAGAAGGGACGATGTGACTACACCCACGGGCTGGCGCTCTCCCGCTGTGCGTGCCCTGGCGAGCACATGCACCCTCGACACTGCACGCGTCTGTGGGAAATGGAATTCAAGTACAGTGATTTAAACAAATAACCTACGGCAAGCATCCGGTCTGCCCTCCCCACCTCTCAGAGGTCCTCCCCTCCGCTCCAGGGACAAGGCCCCTTCCCTTCCCTCCCCTCCCGGGACAAGGCCCCTTCCCTCCCCTCCCCTCCAGGGCTTCACTCAGACAGGTCACACACACACACACACACTCACCCTCTCTCTCACCTCCCCGCTGGGCTTTTCCACAGTACTGTCTAACATAATATATACATATCTTATTCATTAACCTGTTTCTTCCTCCTACTGAAGTGGACCTCCTTCAGGGCAGGAGTTCGAACCCTCTGTGCCTTGTTTTAGCTCCAGCATGTAGAACAATGCCTGGCATGCATGTGCGTACACACACACGCACACATATACACACATACACACCCCCCCCACACACACACACGCCTGTGCGGGTCAATGCATACTTGTTGAATGAATGCATTTTTAAATCTCCACCTTTCCAACTGCTGTACCCTATCCCTTACAAGGTTCTGGACTCAGGAAGGGAAGAAGGATGCTTACCCTCTTCTCATCACTATGTTTTAGACACATTCTTAGGTAATGTAACAATTAAACGGTCACCCAGATTTATTGATTGATCTGTATCTGCAGCCTCTGCCTGCTGGGCTAGGAAAAACAATTCTTCGCTCTATTTTAGGGGCAGGACAGTTGACCAAAGACCATTTCAGACCATGAGAATATAAGAGCCATACCCTAAATCTGAGTGTCTGAGTTACTAACCACCTGCTGGCACTGAAAACATGCACGCTGGGCCACCAGGTGGCGAGGTGGCTGCGGCGCGGGGCTCCACGTGGCCGACCGCGGTTTGAGCCTTTAATGCACATCCGGCATGTTGATGTGCCCAAAATCTCCAAGAGGAGGATGAAGGACAAGGGACCGTGGCATGGCCACCCTCCTGGGGAAAAAAAACTTAAAAAGGGAAAACAAACTAAAAAAAGGAAAAAAAGTTATCCTAGGAACTGATTCTGTCAAAACCAGATTAGATTGTAATTGCTCTGTACCAAAGATTTCACTGAATGCACTATTTGTGGATTTTAAGTATTTGTGGTGTTTTCATCACTGAACGTCTACCTCACTTTCTGATTATTCAAGTTTAAGGAGGATTACACCCGATGCCTGTGCTACTAAAGTTTTCTCAAGAGGAAACATTCTGGAGCTGGGCTTATAAAATAAGTAAGTGAAACTTATACTAAGCTCTCTGGTTTTGTTTTTTACTCGAGGGAGTTCTTTTTTATTGCCACTAATGCGTGAAAATCACTCAGTAACTCAACCATCTACTGCGCAATGAATAAAGGGCCAGTTTGTTTAGAACAGTAAAGAACCGGAGGAGGTCTGGGAGGGAAGGGAGCTGGAAGGACGCTAGCACCTGTGGTGAGGACGGCCGCGGTCCTGACACCCCCGTCTTCGCCCCGCAGGTCCTGCAGGAAAGAGCCCACGGTCGTCCGTAGACGTCGGATCGCAAACTGACAGCGCTCTTCTCTGGATGGCAAAGTAAGCGTTATTAAAGGAAGGCCGTGTTTATAGTTAACTGTTATTTCTGTTAAGGAAAAAAAAAAAAGATATAAAAATGGATACTTTTTTTTTTTTTTTAGATTTTTGCTATAGGGCGTGTGCGCGTGCCAGATAAGATAGAAAGAGAGGCAGAAAGCAAGAAATCACCCCCCCAGGGGGGATGGCCACGCCACAATCCCTTCTCCTCCATTCTCCTCTCTGGATCTTAGGCATGCAAAGCAGACACACCTGCATGAGTTTCAAGCTGCCGGGTTTGGGACTCGAACCATGGTCGGTCACTACATTTTACTTTCTAATGAAGAACAGAATGCTTAACTGGGAATCACGGGCCTCTCACTTCCTGTACAACCCGCACTACACTGTCCCCACACTACACTGTCCCCGCACACGCAGTCTACACATCCCTGGCGCTTCCTGGAGCTGGCCCTCGGCGCTAGTTCTCAGCTCAGTCTCCCTGGGGAGTTACATCCTGGGACAGACACTTCCTTGCCCATCTCAAGTTCGTCTGACCACGGGTGGCATTTTGCAGAGGACTTTGGGTACATGGAGCAGAACGAGGAAGCCAGCCAGGATGTGGGCGGGGTGGGCAGGGAGGGGAAGACGAGCCTGTTTGGCCCAGAGGCAAAGCTGCGCTGTTTAGAAGGGTGGGAACCGAACCGCTTACCACCTGAGGACGCCGCTGTGCTGGCGTGCTGTGTCTGGCGATGTTCCAGAGCCCCACACAGCTTCACACACAAAACCTGCAAGGAAGATTACATCTCCGCTTTCATCTGACTGGAGTGAGGAAAGCCCCCTTGTCACACACCCCTGTAAGACCTTGGAGGCGCTCACGAAGCCCCTGGCTGCACGCGGCCACTGCTGTGCCTACTGCCCCAGGGACACCCAGACAGGGTCTCGGACCGCAGCACCGAGGACCCTGCAACCGTGTGAAGATTTGCAGATCCAGCTGTTCCTTTGAGGTGCCACTCTGGAACAAGTGGACCCCGTCCCCGTGTTACGCTGTGCTTCTCAAAGCACGCCTCATAGGGCCCGAACGCGTCCAGCAGAGACCAGCCAGCAGGACGTGGCCCAGCCACAGGCCCCAGCCGGCGCTGCTGGTCCTGGGGCCACTGGGGGCGCTGTATGGACTGCAGGCTGAGCTGAGTGTGCCATGACCAACCCCACAGGCACGAGGCCTGGAGAGGGTCACTCTCTCCCTCTGTCTCTAACAGGCCAGCTAGTTCCTACCTGAAAGGACACAGATTTCAGACTGAGTCAGAATCCCATTTTAACAGGATCTTCCTGCCACAGCGGCTTGACGCGCACTGCTCTGAACTAGGCTGGTCAGCTGGCTAGTCCCACTGTGACCGAGGACCCGTAAACATCGGTAGGCTCAGCTCCTTGGGGACCTTCGCCGCTGACCAAGAGCTCTGCAGCTGTGCGTGCCCAGAGGCTGACACAGGACAGCACAGACACGGCGTCTGCATGGCCCAGAAGTGCCACCGCAGCTCAGGCTGCCTGGCGCCGGGCACTGTAGGCACAGGGCCTGGCTGGTTTGGCCTGAGCTCACAACTGCACTGATGCTTAGCAATCACCAGGGGGCACCATGGTGCGCTTGGAACAGACAACCTCAGGACAGGGACAGAAAGGGCGAGCAGGGGCGGGGGAGTTGAGAAGGGGCAGCCCGGGACCATGGCCAAGGGCAGGGGAGAGCTTTCTCGCTCTTGCTGTCTGTCTCAGGCAGCTTACAAGCAGTCCAGGAGAAGGAAGAGTTGGGAGGTGGAAGAGGAGGAGGTGGAGGAGGAGGAGGACAAGGAGGTGGAGGTGATAGGGGAGGGAGGTGGAAGAAGAGGAGGAGGAGGTGGAGAACAAGGAGGTGGAGGAGGAGGTGATGGAGAAGAGGGGGAGGAGGAAGAGGACAAGGAGGTGGAGGAGGACAAGGAGGTGGAGGTGATAGGGGAGGGAGGTGGAAGAGGAGGAGGAGGAGGAGGTAGAGGAGAACAAGGAGGTGGAGGAGGAGGAGGAGTTGGGATGTGGAGGAGAAGGAGGAGATGGGAGGTGGAGGAGGACAAGGAGGTGGAGATGATGGGGGGGAAGGAGGTGGAAGAGGAGGAGGTGGAGGAGGACAAGGAGGTGGAGGAGGAGGTGATATGGAGGAGGGGGAAGAGGAGAAGAGGGAGGAAAAGGAGGGGGAGGAGAAGGAGGAGTTGGGAGGTGGAGGAGGACAAGGAGGTGGAGATGATGTGGGGGAAGGAGGTGGAAGAAGAGGAGGAGGACAAGGAGGTGGAGGAGGAGGTGATATGGAGGAGGGGGAAGAGAAGGAAAGGGAGGAAAAGGAGGGGGAGGAGGAGGATTGCGGTGTCACCATGCCCGACTGGGGGGTGCTTTCTCCCCTAGGAAGCAAACAGGACCCCTCAGTATTTCCGTCTGTGGGAGGAAAGGCCCCTCAGAAACGCGAGGCTGCAGGAAGTTACAAGAGCTGAGAGCTCAGCTGCCCCACGTAGGGCCGTGGGCTTCCAACCCCAGCCCGTCCCGAACCAGATCTCGCTCTCAAGGCCGGCTCAGGAACCAAGGATCTTCTCGGGCCCTTCCCAGACCTGCTGGGACCCTGGGTGAGGGCCCAGCCCCCAGGGCTGCTGTGCCGCGTGCGGGCGCCCGAGCATTGATGGTTGGCATGGGCTGAGCCCCAGAAGGCTCCGAGTGCCCTACTCCAGGCCACGAGCAGTTTCCTGTCACTGGGGTCTCCACGACTCCCCGTGTGTTTGCAGTCACAGAAGGCCCTGCAGCCCGAAGGGGCCAAACGGGAGGTGGCAGGCCAGAATGGACATGGGCACGAGGTCCCCCATCTGACCTCGGACCCCGACTCTGCAGTGAGCCCGCCGGCTGGGTCTGTGCTGGACTAGATCAGTGGTCAATACCATTAGGCCACCTTCTCTTTCGCCCCAAAATGAAGTGACATCCGTTTTCTTTTCTTTTTAAAATACATTGAACATCAAGGACAGTCGACACTTTCTCCTCCGGACGCTGGAATTCCGCATCCCTGGAACGCTGCGTGCCAGGCTGGGGTGACGTGGCACGTGGCGGGCAGAGCCTGACAGCTGCGTCCCGAGGGCGGGGACAGTCTCCACTGAAAAATGTCCACGGCTACTTTGACTCCAACTCCGAACAAATCGAATGAACCCATTTGCTATGGAAGAACAGTGTACATGATCTTGAAGGTAAAGGAACGCGCGGAGGAGGCTCCGAAGCTCTCGGGCTGCCTGTAACGAGGCATGACAAAAGGAAATGCGAGGGCCCAGTCCTACTTGAAAGGGAGTCGGGGCCAGCAGGCCATGTGACGGTTAAGGCCCTGGACTCCCACATGGCCGACCATGGTTCGGCCTAGCCTGGCTCCAACACCACACCGGAATCCAGGTCTACAGAAACGACTCTCAGGCCTCCTTTAAAAGAAAACAAGGAAATAAAACCGCCTCCTAAATCTATAAACATAAGACCCTTGGGAGGGACGTAAACCCCAGGATATCACCCCTAGGGACTGCCACTGGAAACCCTGCGTCTCTGGGCCCACTTCTTGGCATGAGGGCCGACGTCCTGTCCCCGCCCTCTCGAGCTCCAGCCCTGGCCTCTCTTCTGTCCTGTTCCTCGCCCGAGTCTATGCAATACATCCTCCCCAGTGGGCCTGGCTCGAGTGCAGACCACGGCCACGCTCACCAGTACTGCTCACCTCACGCAGAGTCTACCGAGGCCACAGGCTGCAACACACACTCCCGGCTGCAGCGCGTCGACTCCTCGACGACGAGCCTTACACTAGGAGGAAAGTGACGGAAAACCCGGTAACACCAGCCAGGAGTTCAAGACAGCAAACGCTCGATTTTGACCACCGCAGGCCCTCTGCCCAGACTTCACCTCCTGCTCCGCAGTCTCTAGCCAGGAGCCAGGAAAACACACATAATCCATCAGATGACCAGAAACCACCACAGAGGAACAAGAAATATGAGAAACCCAGAAATGATCTCTCCTCCAAGGAAAAGAATAACTCCTCTTCCTCCGTAAAGAACACAAGGGAACTCATGGAAATGTCAGATAGAGAATTTAAAATATCCACAGTGACAAAGCTAACAGAGATGCAAGAGAGGAGAGACAACGAATTCCAGAAGAAGCAGGAGAACAGACACACTGCGTTCCAGGAGGTGAGGAAGTCCTTGTACGATCATAAAAAGAATCAGACGGAACTGTCAGAGATGGAGCTGTAATACAGGAAACCCGAACTTCTGTTGAAAATATCAAAAGCAGATTAGATCATGCAGAAGACTGAATCTCAGATGTAGAAGACAGAACTCTGACCTAGAAAAAAATCACCAAAAAGACTGAGAAAATGACAAAAAGAGAGAGAGAGTAACATACAAGAAATACTAGATACCATTAAGCTCCCCAACATCCGGATCATCGGTATCCCAGAAGGTGAAGAAACTAATAAGGGCACTGATAATCCATTCCATGAAATCCTGGAAGAAAACCTTCCAAACCCAGAAAGGCACTCAACTATCCAGACCCAAGAAACACAAAGGATCCTACACAGAATGAACCCAAGAAGATCTTCCCCAAGACACAACATGGCCAGATTGACCAAAACCACAGACGGAGTCAAGATAACTAAGATTGGCAAGAGAGAAACGGCAAGTTACTTTCAAAAGATGTCCCGTAAGGCTAACGTCGGACCTCTCATCGGAAACAATGCACGCCATGGGAAAATATATTCAAGGTGTTAAGTGAAAAACAATTTCAACCAAGAATATACAGCCAGCAAGATTATCTTTTATATGGGGAAAAAGAGACAAAAAAATTCTCAGATAAATAAGACCTGAAAGAATTTACCAACACCAGACCAGCTCTCCAAGTGCTGAAGGGAGTGCTACACCAGGAAAGCTGAAGTCGGACACAGAAATAAGAGTGCAATACAGAACCACGAGAACGGCCGGCCTGATGGGAGGGCCAAGTCCGGAGTTGAGTGTGGACCTCCAGAGTTTAAGTGGAAAGCTCAGACCACAGCCACACTGCAGATTCAATAGGAGAGAGATTAACTACACGAGTCTGAACTAGTGAAATAGAAGTTTTTGACTTTAGACTAAAACATTACTGAATTTCTTCGATGCTTTGGTTTCCATATGGAAGGATTTCTGTCTTCTCTTGAACTGTTGATAGGTTCATCTACCTACTATTTGAACTGAATCCTAACCTTTTTCCTGGCTTTACATTTTATGCAAATTTCTCTTAACATGTTTTGATTTGATCTATTAAAACTAAAACTTTTTGAAATTAAAAAATGCACTAAAAATACCTATTAATACCCACTAACGACTGCAGTAAGCTATACAGCCCCAGGGAGGTGCTGCTTCATGCTGAGGTTTACCCCTAAATCAGACACGTGCCTCTACCAGCTGCACTTCTATTCAAAGCGTTTAATTAAGATCTTTAGTGAATCAATAAAATGGGGGGAAAGGCATGGAAAACAACAGCACATAGCAGAGAGTGTGGGAGAGGGGAGGTGGCTGAGGTGAGAGGTGGGGAATCAAGGGTGGAGGGAAGCGAAATATGTAAGAACCGTGGAATAGAAAATGACTTGGCGACACCCAGGCATACCCGACTGGGCAATGCACGTGTACTGGATGGAAAACCTCACTTCGTATACGGTGTTGCTGTACAGTGAGTGACTGCAAATAAAGAAATAAATAATAATTCTAAAAGACAGAGAGAAGAGACT